GAGAGAGAAACACAGAGAGAAAGAGAGAGAGAGAGAGAGAGAGAGAGAGAGAGAGAGAGAGCTTTCCCAGCACATACCCACTTCGATCCCGATCTGCTTACGTGGAAGTGCCTCCCTCCTTCGCTAAGCTTCACTTCTCTTCTTCCTGTTTCCCTTCGCGGCGTTCGCGCAATCTTTGCGTTTTCAGGTGTACAGAATCAGCGATCTGGTTAAATCGGAGTTTTTTTTTTTTCCCTCAGTGCTTGAAAATTGAGAGCCTTTTTTTTTGGGGGGGGGGGGCTCGAAATTGATGGGTACGTTTCCAAGGGTTCATTTTGTCCTCAATTTTTGGTTCAATGTGCTTAGCACCACAACCTCCGCGGTGCTTTTTTTTTTTTTTTTTTTGAAAAAGAAGGGCGACGGCCTTGAGATATCATCATTGAACTTAGCGGCCCCAGGTAATTGACAATGATTTTATTCTGGTCATCTGATTGTATCTGGATCCGAACCTAGGTCTTTATTTCATCAGTTCGTGGGTGTACCAACTGAGCTAGGTAAAAAAAAAAAAAAAAAAAAAAAAAAGACGCTAAACTGAGCTAGGCCCGTTGGTGCTGGGTGTTCATTTAGTATACGACAGACTTAAATCATTCTTCTGGAGGTTGCAGCGAAAATTTCTCTTTTGTTTCCGAGCTCGAAAATGTATTTTTTTTTTTTTTTGAACGACAGACTTAAAAATCTGTTTCTTAGACATGATGTGATTTTTTTTGTTGTTTGCCTATTGGAGGATATAACAGGCGGTGTCACGATTCAAAACGGATGGGGGGAAAAGAAAAAAAACAAAAAGAAAAACACAGTTTTCCGTCTCTCTCGGCGGCTTTCTATCCTGTGTATCTGATTGGAGATTTCTTCACCGTTAAAAGTTACAAGTCAATTTTTTCACCGTTAAGATCAATTTCTTTCTTCACCGTGAAAGTCAATTTCTTCACCGTTAACGATTTGAGCTATGAGTGCTTTGCTCACGCTGTCGTTTTTTGTACTTTTCCGATTTAAAACGTTGAATCGCCGAAATTTTGTTCTAAGTTCATATCCCAAACTAAAAAAAATAAAAATAAAAATAAAAATCAGACCGGATTCGGTGTAAGTGTGCTTGTAGATAAAAGATCGTCGGGAGCGTGGTCGCATTAGCAGTCGGGTAGGAGTGTGGGCGAACCAGTGTGACACTGTGTGGCAGCGGCCTGACAGGTTTCGTTACGAATTTCGGGGCTGAGAAAACAGGAGGAAGGCAAAAAAAAGAAAAGAAGGAACAGTGCCCTCTCACCGGAAATCACGGCAGACTGCATCCTAGCCATCAGATCACAAATGATGATCTGATGGTGGTGGTTGCAACAACAGGGAGCAGAGAAAGTTTAAGTAACTGCCCCATTTTTTTCTGGAATAAACTCGACTTCTGTCAGCACCGATCATGACGCCCTCCATATACATATCAGAACTGTATGATGCCGCACTGTGATGAACGTCCTGCTGTGTTTTTGACATGTGGACAACATGTCCTCTGTCAGGACTGTTTTGATGAGATGGTTCGTGCTAGCCGTCCTGCAGAATGCTGTGCTGGCGCAGCTCTCCTTGGGCATCCTTGTGAACATCCACAGCATCCTCACCGTAGCTGTCCTATCTGCCGAGGTGGGGGCCAGGTAAAGAAAAAAAGAAGAAAAGAAAAACAGAAAAAAAGAGAAAAAAAGAAAAAAGATACGTTGATCTGTGGGATGTGTTATTTGCTTTGTGATAATTGGATTATCTTTCTTTCCCTATCTTCCTTTCCCTGTCAGGTTTGGTTTCCCCCTCCTTTTCTTTACCTCTTTGCCTTTTGGCTGCGCGCAAGTGGGTCCTTGTGACACACGGGGATGGGGGCAGCCAGCGCTCAACCTGTCATCCACGTGGCTGGCCTTGTACGTAAGAGGTTATGAACAGGTGGAGCTTTCCTTACCTCTTCCCCTTCCTCTTTTTTCCTTTTCCTTTTTTCTTTCCCCCTTTTTTTTTTTTTTTTTTTTTTCGCTTCTGCGCTCTGATTCACAATGTGACAATATATATAGATATATTGCCTTGTACGCAAGAGGTTCTGAACAGGGGGAGTCTTGTAAGGAAGAAGATGAAAAATGAATTGATATTTTTTTTGTTTCCTTTGTTTGTTTTTTTCGCTTTTGCGCTCTGATATCAATGTGACGATATATATATACATCCTGGTTGGTTGTTTCCCGTTGTTCGGCCCTTTGAGAGGCGGGGCGGTGCCTGTATGTGGGAATCGTCATCCAGGTCTTCTCTTTTTTTCTTGGTTGTCACACTGTGGATCGTCGCTTTTTTATGTCTTGTCCTGGGTGGTCTTGTCCCGTTGTTTGGCCTTTGACGGAGCGGGCGGTGCTTGCATGTGGGACTTGTCATCTGGGATCTGTCTTGTTTCCCTCTGTTCTATTTGTTTCATTTGGCTGTTCCCTTCCTCTCTTCTTTGCCTCTTTGCCTTTTGGCTGTGTGCAAGTGGGTCGATATGACACACGGGGGTGGGGGCAGCCGCCGCTCAACCTACATCCACGTGGGCGGCCTTGTACGCAAGAGGTTCTGAACAGGGGGAGTTGTAAGGAAGAAGATTAAAAACGAATTTAAGATTTTTTTGTTTTTTTGGTTTTTTCGCTTAGGCGCTCTGATATCATGTGACTATATATATATACTCCGTGATTGAAGGAGGGCTCTTTACCCAATTAGATAATTGCACAACAGCAAGCAAAACACTGAAAATCGTCTATCCAGTCGGCCTATGGACCTATGGTCGATCCCACCCTCTTTTGGGAGTGGTCATACCCCCGACGGATTTAAAAGATTTTGGCGTGAAGCTTCCTTTGCACGGGCATGCCCGGTGTTAAGGAGAGGAGGAGGGGAACAATGATCTCCTTACTTTTTAGGGTAAATTAAATACATGTAAAATACTGACCGTGGGATCACGCACGAGTACTGCACCGCAGGATTTGGGACACTCAAATGCCACACAAACTCTTTTCTACCCTATCCCCTTGCTACGGTAGTGGGACCATGCCCCGGGATCGGAATAACGATAAGTGCAATTTTGTCGGATAAAAAAAAAAATGCATTTTTGTTGGAAATTGAGATCGGATTAGGTGTGACGTTTTAGTGGCTCTAAAAAAAAATAAAAAAATTAAGATCGGAATGCGAGAAAAAGGTTTGCGCAATTTTGTTGTGAAATTAAGAGCGGAATTTGTGTAGATCATTTGTGTAAATTAAAGGCCGGAATTCTAAAATCAAAGATCGACTTCCCCCCTCCCAAAATAAATAAATAAATAAATAAAAATTAAAGATCGAAACTCGAAGTATGAAAAGCGAACACAATTCTTTTGCTGGCAACGTTGTTTGAAATTAAAAATAATAGCCGAGAAATGAGCCGTTTCTGATCTATCGACCTTTCTTCTTCTTCTTCTTCTCCTTCTTCTTTTTTTTTTTTTTTTTTTTGCCTGATATATCTATCAATTACGTGAGGACACATTTTTCACTGTGACGACGACTCAGAGCGTCCCATACAACAATGACCTCTAAATTTTGACCCGGCGAGAGTTTCACCCAAAACTTTAAACCGTATTTTGCGCCCGAATTTTGGTCCCAAAATTTTCTTTGCATTTCTGTATAGCAATCCTACATAGCTCCCATTCGTCAGAACAGTCCATTCAATGCTGCATACTAATGGAATATATACATATGTGCTCTATATATATAGATGATATAGATTATATATATATATATATCCATCTGGTGTGGGTGAGTGATAGTCTACTTTGATTTTGGTTAAGGTGGATTATCACTTACAATGTAATCAGTGAGGGGATTCTACAGACTGTTGAGGGTTCAGCCTCCTGATGAGTCGGTGAAACTCCG